CATTCCAATTGATTAACCCTCTCAGGCGAGATTTGCATGAATATAACGGAGAGAGAAAAAAATTCCAATTTAAAATGTGCTCTAAAGCTGCTTAATCAATTCACGAACAGAGACATCATAATTTCTTTTGTTTTTAGATGACCTATAGCATCACCATATATTGGGCTATTAGGGAACAAAAGCACTTAAATGAAAGTTACAAGTTTACTAGGTAAGAAAAACACAAACTATTGGTTCACAGTTGCCTGCTGAGTACTGAGAACTAGTATTCTTGGCTTTTTACAACATTGGGCTTGACTGGTCTCAGCATTGTACTTTTTAAAATTTTAAAGTCTTTTTTTTTATTTTTTAAAGTCTTTTTAAGTCTTTTTTAACCTTTTTTATTGCAAATCTACTTCTAAAACTCTAGAAATGCACTACAAGACACCAAACAAGGGATTTTTAAAATGACATTTTGAAAATTTGAAAATTCTATCACACGTATTGCATCTAGTCATTTTTAAGTCCCTGTCTCATTGTTGTAAAGAACTCCCAACAAATTTAGCTTAAGTTCCATGGATTTTTAAGGTCCCTCATCCAAACATAGGGTAAACACTGCCTGTGGATGATGGTCTTCAAAGTTCCACGAAACCTAGGCTACACCTTTCAGAAATGCACTACAAAAAAGGAGATAGAGGGGCTTGAAAATGACTAGATGCAAAACATTTGATAGAACTTTCAAATGACACCATGCAAATCTTTTGTTGCGTGTATTTAAGCTGCACTTGTAGTGTTATAGTGGTAACTTTGTAGTGCTTTAGTAGTTCATCAGTAGTGTTCTTGTAGTGTATTTTTAACAATTAAGTCTAAAGTTTGTCCCTCATTCAAACATAGAACAACACACCCGTGACAACTCTAAGTTTTATACAAAAACACTTCAAGAGCTCAATTGAAGGGAGAAAAAAAAAACTTCGTCTATCCACTTGTCATGCTCGAATTGATTCTTAGTTGTGAAACCCTTTCTCCATCATCAACTCGGTTGGGTTTTCTTTTTCCTTTTTTAACTATTGGGTTTGAAGTGTTTTCAAGTACCATCATCTTCCAGGATAATATATACCCACTGAATTCGTTACTCTCTTATAAGTTTCGGAAAATAACCAAATAGTTTCAAAATGAAAGCGAAAATATGGTACAGCACATGCGTACTGCAGATATGACATAGTCAAAATATGGTACAGCATATACACCAGTCCCTACGTATTTACACAGTCAAAATCAATAAAATTAACATAATGAACCATTGTTGAATGCCATCGTCACTAAAGCGCAGTATAACATATGTCAAATCTACCGCTTTCCCGGTAAAACCAACAGCTTTATGGCCACAAAACTTAAAGGAGGAAACCAATCAACAAAGTTCAAAAGCTAAAAGGTTTTCACTTTGCCGAAGGCACAAACCCAGATCATCCCCACTTCACTCTCAAAATCTTTACTTCAAAAAAAGCTTCACTTTGCCCTAAAATTCGATGATTCTACTCCCTCAAACACCCCACCAGACAGTTCCTACTAACTTAACCTAGGCCCATTCAAGTCTACTAATAATTAGCAGATCCAAACTTTCAAAAAGCAAAGTTCAAAAACTCAAACAAAAACTACAAAATTCAATTGAAAAATTGCAAGAAAAATGAACTTGGAATTGGGCAAAGGAACATACCATAGTTTGCTAGTAGGTCAGGAGTCCAACATGCAAGTCGAATCCCCTCAATTTCCAGAGAAGATATAGGGTTGAACTCAAGACACCTGCTTACACTGAAGTGAGTTCCTAATTACTGTTTCACAAGAGAGGGTAGCTTGTGTCGAAACTGCTTCCGCAAGAAGCAATGGGGAGCTTTCAATGGAACTTTTGAAAGGCCTAAATTACCCCCTATGTGATTTACAAATTACAGCACTTACCCTAACTCTACTCTCTTTGGCGTCTGGGGAGCATACTAGATTTTGCTATGCGTTTCTCTCCTGGCGTCAAGTTGTTGCTGCCAAAGCTCTCTGCTTCCAATGGCCGCCAACAATCCGTCCCAGCTACTCCCATCAGGTTTGCCCACTCTTTTCCTCTTATTCTGCTTTCGGTATTTTCTCGAGAAAATTAATCGGAAAATGAGAGGTTTTTTCCTGAAAAATACGCAGAGTTGATCGACCGGTGCATGGGTGATAATGAAGGGAGACAAGGAGCTCGTAGGAACTCTGAGGGGTTTCGATGTTTACGTCAACATGGTCCTCGAAGACGTCACTGAATGGTATGATTCACTCTCTCAGTTCTTGTTGCATAATGTAGCCCGAAACCCTAGCATTTGGGGGGTTTTTTTACTCGGTTTCTCGACAAGTGTGAATCCTTATTTCTGTGAATGCTTCAATTTTTAGATTTATTAATAGGAAACTTATACAAAGAACAATACAGTTGGAAGTTAATCAAACAGAATTGTCTTTATTAGTATTTCAGTTAGAAAATTGATGGGGGAAAACAGTTTGTTGGAGAAGTCCGAATCGAGCTCTTCCAAGTAATAGTCAGTACAATTCATCGAACCTCAGTAATCTCTTATTATGATGTCGATTCTCTGGGATCATCCAGAGGGGGGTTATGTGAGCCTTCCGGAGCCATCCTCGGTGTCAAAAGAATCGTTCATCACTGTGAAATTCGATACCAGGTTTGATCCTATGATTGCTGACATCAATGGTTACCACATTGGTATTGATGTGAACACGGTTGTGTGTGTTGCCTGTGTTGATGTTGTTTCAAGAGGAATTGATTTGACAAGTGGGGGGGAGATTACTGCTTGATGGAGTACAGAGATGCTGTCAAGATGATTCGGCTTGGGTCGGATACTCATCAACTAGGCCTCCAACGCCTCTTCTTGTTGCTCAGATTGACCTCTCCAACAAGTTCAAGGAGTTCATGCGTGTCGGTTTCTCTGCCTGGAATGGGCAGGGCTCTTCAATTCACATTGTTGACAGGTAGAGATTCAAGACTTTCGGATCTCTTCCAACTGGGATTACTACGGATGCGTTTGAACAAGGGGACTGCTTCACGTGCTCTTCACCACAAGATCCAATTACCAAAAGTAGCCCAGAAAATCCAGTAATCTCTTATTATGATGTCGATTCTCTGGGATCATCCTGGAGGGGGTATGTGAGCTTTCCGGAGCCATCCTCGGTGTCGAAAGAATCGTTCATCACCATGAAATCCGATACCAGGTTTGATCCTATGGTTACTGACATCAATGGTTACCACATTGGTATATTGATGCGAACATGGTTGTGTATGTTGCTTGTGTTGATGTTGTTTTGAGAGGAATTGATTTGACAAGTGGGAGGGAGATTACTGCTTGATTGAGTACAGAGATGCTGTCAAGATGATTCGGGTTTGGGGTCAGATACTCGTCAACTAGGCCTCCAACGCCTCTTCTTGTTGCTCAAATTGACCTGTCCAACCAGTTCAAGGAGTTCATGCGTGTCGGTTTCTCTGCCTTAAATGGGCAGGGCTCTTAAAGTTCTGACAAGTTTGTTTCTTGCGGATATAAGATCAGCTACAATGGGGTTTAACTGAAACAGGGTATTGGGGAAGGGGCATCAGCTAAGGTTTATAAAGGGTCTCTGCACCCTTGTTGGAGAAGTGGCAATAAAAAGGTTTGAGAGGGCTGATGGGATTGGTAGTCTGCATCATCCTTTTACCACGGAGTTTGCAACTATGGTGGGTTGTTTGCGGCATAAGAATCTGATTCAGCTTCATGGGTGGTGATGTGAGGGTAATGAGTTAGTCCTGGTGTACGAGTACATTGCCCAACGGAAGCCTCAACAAAGTTCTCCACAAAAGCTTCAATTCAGCAGATGTCCTATCCTGGAAGCAAAGACTTGATATGGTTCTCGGAGTCGCTTTTGCTCTTGCATATCTTCACGAGGAGTGTGAGAGGCAAATAATTCACAGAGATGTTAAAACATGCAACATAATGCTCGATGCAGATTTTAATGCCAAACTAGGGGATTTTGGTCTAGCAGAAGTGTATTGAGCACAGTTCCATCATTGCAAGAGAAGCAACTATACCAGCTGGAACAATGGGATATCTTGCTCTGGAATACGTTTATTCAGGTGTTCCAACAGTAAAAACTGATGTTTACAGCTTTGGTGTGGTGGTGTTAGAGGTGGCAACGGGAAGAAAGCCGGTGGAGGATGATGGAACAGTGGTTTCTGATTGGGTTTGAAGCATGTGGGAAAAGGGAAAACTGATTGAAACTGCTGATCTGAGGTTTATGGGGAAGTTTGATATGGTAGAAAGGGAGAGGATGCTGATGACTGGGCTTGCTTGTGTGCGCCCAAACCATGTGAAGAGGGCAACGGTGAAGGAAGCTGCCACCAAGAAAACCAAGGGTAAGCCTTCGCCCTGTTTTCCTGATGACTGAAGAAATCCCATTTTGCTGTGGTGTTCGGCCAAGTCTCGAACTTGATGATGTACAATATCTTACTCCAAAGAGCCACTTTGGCAAGGATTAGTTGCTCGTAGCAGATCAAGTAACCTCATAATTAGTAGGATTTCATTGCAGTTTGTAATAGAGAAACTAGGAGCTTCTTGTTGACTGGGGAACTTGAGGAACCCCTCAGGTGCTTCAGTTAATTTGCAGATTTTGTAGTCTGAAATGTGTTTGATGTCTTATAGTAATGAAATGCTCTGTTTCCTTGTCTGTTTTATTACGATTGACATGGTCTCAAGTATTTTGTTATTAGCTGACGGATTTAATTATTCAAATGATGTTCGGAAGATTAAGTTTCGTGTTTCATCCAAATATTCCTTTTGAATTTTGTACCTGGTACAGCAGCTACATAGTATTGGCATGTTCTAAAAATTCACTGACTAGATGTATACTGATTTACGGGTTTGTCTGGTTTTTGCGGAAGGGCCCTTCGGAAACCGAACAGAAAAAGTATTGCAGTTTCTGGACTGCACAACCAGTTTCCATTAGTTACAAAAACTAACTGAAACAAGTCAATTCTTCCTTTCTATAAAAATTTGAAATTCTTTGAAATTCAACATTAAAGGTGTTTTCAGAAAATAAACCTCAAGATTAGCAATGACAGCAGGCAAGATAAATCACATTGGTGATCAGAAACCTGTGGTTCATTCTTGTACAAGGAAGAAACATAGAGGCCAACTGAACGGCTCTAGGATGGTACTCGTACTTTAAGTCCGGCTCCTCCTATTCTTCCCAAGCTTATGATGGGGACTGGTTTTACAGTGAACTGAAATGAAATTAAGAAATGAAAAACTCTTTGTTAGTGTTAGATGTCTCTGTTAGATTTGTTATTGGCACATTACAAGCTCGATATCAAATACTAAATCAATCTTCTTTGGAAATTGTTATTGGAACTCTAAAAATCTCATTTTACACTCTAAACTTTCTATAAGTAGAAAGAAAAATATACTTATGAAGAGTGTAAAATGAGATTTTTTGAATGCTAATAACAGTTCCTCTTCTTAATGCAATCAGCAAAAGTCTTGACACATCAACATTCTTATCCACTCGCCTTTCAATAAATATGGCCATCTTAATATATATAGCTTGTGGGATTTGAGTCCATTGACTAAAATATTTTTAAAGACAATTAAGCTGATGGGATAAACCGACGATGACTTACCTGCATTTATTATAAGATGGTGACTTAACAATGCCTTTTGTAGATTTGTTTTCTGCCGTTGAAACTAGCACTTCCAGGTCACTTAGAGCTGTCTTGTCACGATATTCATGTATTTGTTTCAGGATTTTGTCATTGGTTGAGTTCTTCCAAATCTTGCTTGTACTTGGTTGAGTTTTTCCAAATCTTGCTTGTACAGCAAACGAGCCCCACACTTCTTCACATAATTCAAGTATACTTTTGCTTCTCCCATTAAGTCTGCTTGTGCTACTTCCCTTCTAACACCACCATTAAAGTAAGTTTCGAATAAAAACACATGTTCACAACAATCTCGACGACGCAAATAAAACACATGTTCACAACAATCTCGACGAGGCAAATAGAATACCCAAAGGTGTTCTGACTCAAGAGACCTTATTTTTTTTGTACAAATCCCAGGGCTATCCATAAAAGATAAACACCGAATTTCGAAATAATCATTGGGATGAAGAGCAGCTAGAATGGCCGAGTATTGGTTAAGATCTTGAAAAAGAACGCAAAAAGCAATCCCCAACCAGTTGGTACATGATGGTGGAGGAAGCTCCACATTTACTGAATGTCCCACACTCTGAATACTGAACCACTCTGGAATTTCACTTCCAGGGCATAGCATACCTCTCATAAAATATGAGATTCCCTGTAGCAGAAGAAATATCAATTATTTAGAGGGAGAGAGAGAGAGAGGGAGAGAGAAGATCAATTATTTAGAGAGAGAGAGAGAGAGAGTACTTGTTGATCAGTGGCAAATTTTAGAACCCTTGAGAGTATTGTATTAATCCAGCCTTCATCTGGAACCAATGCTATGCAATTCAGGCAAGTGATATTAAAATCATACAAATTGGCGAATCTGCTGTTCAACTTGGATGGATCTGACAAACTTCGCAAGGAAGTACAATTGTCTACATCTACATGTAATTTGCTATTAGATGGAAGAGGTGGCAATTTTTGAAGGCTTTTGCACCTCTCCAGATCAAGATACGAAAGCTTAGAAAGGCGTCTAATGCTTTCAGGTAGACTGACGAAATTATTTCCACTAAGATCCAATCTTTCCAGAAAGGACAAGCAGCCAATATCATCGGGGATATCTCCTTCACAGAGTTTACAATCTTTTAGAGATAACTCTGTTAACTCTGTCAAAGAGCATAAACTATTTAGAGAAGACAACACCAAATTCAAACAAGGAGGATCAGGACGACTCTTTCCAAGTCCTAGTAAGCGGAGAAGGCCCCACCCCTCCCTTGCTTTAGCATCCGATCCGTTACATAAGTGATCCATGTCTCCTGGGAGTTTGCCAATTTTTGAGCATCCTTGCATTTGGAGTCTTCTAAGATACTTTAAATTACAAATAGACCTTGGAAGGTTCAAGAGATATGAGCAACCAACTAGACACAACTCTTGAAGGCCAACCAAATGTCCAATTGATGAAGTTATTTTCTCTATCGGAGTCGCAGTTAAGTCAATCGAGGACACATTCTTCATCTGCTCCCCAAATTCTGGAATCTTTTTCACATCTGAGTTGCTAAGACTTAAAAATTCAAGAGAATCCATTTTAAGCTCACTTGGGAGGCTCTCAAGTTTTGAGCAGCAAGTAAAATTCAAAAATTCAAGTTTTTTAAGATGTGCAATAGACGGGTGTATCTCAACTAAATTGAAACAACCTCGAAGATTCAACTTCACAAGATTTGGAACACCACTAAAATCCGGGGTACTCTTCAATTTACTTGAGTTGCTAAGATCAATCCATCTCAAGTTGGGCAAGTCCTGTACAACACCGATAACATTCAGATCATATAAATAAATAAATGATTATTTTGTAAATTAAATAGCATTTATTCAAGGATGAATAATAATTAAGTACTCACTAGTGTACTCTATATACTCATTTTTGTTTTGGTTCGTGTTCTTTGTTTATAAAGCTCAAGAAAAATTAAATAACATGTCTATTATTTTTTAAAATAATAAAATATACTTATCCAAAAAGTGAGTACTGATTAGTCAGTACGCAAGTAGTATCTTTTTATTCAACACTACTCTCATCACTTTTTTTTTTTTTTTTTAATGGTAAAAATACTACTTTTACCTCTTTTCCCTCCCATAACCGAACAAGACTGCTTCCATGCATGTGAAGTTCAGTAAGGAGGCGCATGTTGGTTCGAAGAAAATTAGAAGGATATTGAAACCAGATTATAATTCTCAATGACCACGGAAGAAATTTAGGAGCTGAAGAAAAGGTCGAACTCAAATTATCGATTATCAAAATCCTCAGTCTATCCATCTTAGAGAAGGCTTCCCAATTCCACTGGAGTCCCCATTCTCTTCTAGGCAAGTGTACTGATATGACTTCAATTGCACTCGAACCCTGACAATTAAGAAAAAAGGACAAATTAATTTCACATTCAAGTATAATAGTGTCAAAAGTTCTTTCAAACTTGGTATTTACCGTATTGGTCGTGAATACATGAGAAATGTCATCGTAAAGCCACAACCTACTACGTAAGCCAGGCTCTTTAGACTTGTGGCCAATAATTGTCCATGCCATTTCTTGTATCAAATCATGCATCTGTATGCATTTTTCATGATCTTGATAGAGGATCGATCTCTCAATTAGAACATCTATCACAATACGGCTAGAGATTCCAAAAGAATTAGAACTATCTAGACTTTCAATTACACGCTCCGTGTAATACCCTTTGTAGAAACATGCAACATCGAGAAAAATGCTCTTCTCCCACTCTTCTAGTCCATCATAACTTATTTTAAGTTTATCAAAAATAGTTGGATTAGGAATTTTTGACAGATTATCCCGAACACTATGCCAAGCATCTAGCCCTCTCTTAAACAAAGCCGATCCCAAAGTTTCAAGAGCTAATGGAAGGCCTCCAGCATGATTAATGAAATACTTAGACAGTTCCAAAAAACCTTCCTCGGGTTGGTCTTTTTTAAAGGCATGCAGGCTAAAGAGCTTAAGTGCTTCGGCATCATTCAACCCCTGCACCTTATACGATGTTGCAATATCATGTTGGACTAGCAAACGCTGATTCCTAGTTGTAACGATAATTCTACTCCCCATACCAAACCAACCTTGATTTCCAGCCAATACTTGGAGCTGCTTTAATTCATCCACATCATCAAGTACGAGAAGAACCTTTTTATTGTGTAAGAACTTCTCAGTGAGAATGCTTACGTGCTCTTCATCCCAATTTCCTGCGATCCCTTCCTTCAAGAACGCTAAAAGAAGTTTTTTTGCAAGATCAACCATACCATTTTTTGCATAAACCTCTCTAACATTGACAAGAAAACAATGAACTTCAAAATGATGGCAGATTTTACCATAAACTAGCTTAGCAACGGTTGTCTTGCCTATGCCACCCATCCCCGTTATCCCGATAAAGCGAACATCATTGGCATCATGAGCTAATAGCAAACTTAGTTGCTCGAATGCATAATCAGTTCCGACAAACTTCCGTGAAGAATCTGATGGTATGAATGTAGCTTGCACTTTCCGCCAGACACGATTGACGATTTTTTCGATAAGCTCTCTTTCAGATCTACAAGGAAGAAAAGAAAAGTATAATAAGCAATCAATGGAAGATAAACAGAGCATTTGTACTTTTCATCTCCCTGCTGGGAGTGGAGCTTTTGGTGGCTCCTCTGTTTTACTCCTTGTTGTTAATGAAGTTCAGCTTTATCACAAAAAAAAAAAAAAAAAAAGAAACAGATATGGGAAATTAATTGTCCGTGCATGCTTACTTAAAATTCTTCAAATGCCACCCAGAAAATTTGGATATTTTTTTCAAATCAGCTCTCCACTGGGTCACCTTCTTTTTGTCTTCGGTAGTGATGAACTTTTCTTCATGATCCGCGAAGGCTTTGGCAAAACATCCCCGTTGATTTCCAACGTCAGATGGATCCATATCATAAAAGACCGGCAGAACTGAGTCCCTGCCTTCCATGCATTGAAGAATGGTTGTGAGTTCGTCTAAGCACCATTTGGAAGAAGCATAGTTTGGCGAGAGAACAACGATTGCTATATGCGATTCTTTGATCGCACTTGGGAGCTCAAGAGGAATACTTTTTCCTTCTTCAAGCTCTCGATCGTCAAAGAAAGTTGTAATTCCTTGGCACTTGCACAATTCATGGTATAGATGGGATACAAAACCCTTGCGGGTGTCTACACCCCTGAAACTCAAAAACACATCATACTTCCATCGAGGAGCTGATTCATTTGAATAAAAAGATGCAGAGGTTCTTTGGGTGCTCAAAGTCAATGCCATCAGAAAACACAGTTGCTGTAAATCGGGTACTGCAAACAATAACTGAATGAACAAGCAAAATGATAGAAGATCAATGTTTTAAAATTTAAAAAAAAAATTAAGTGATAATAAACAATTAGGCAATTAGCAAACTCACTCGCTCAAAAAATTCCATACTCTCGAGTACTCTAAAAATGAAGTGATATTAAGTGATATTAAGAGAGGAACTGTTAAACAATTAGCAATACTCACTCGCTCTCTCTTTTGTATAAAGTGATATTAAGAGAGGAACTGGTTTTGATTAATTTCACTTTGAAGTTTTGATCACACTAACCAACGGTTAAACGATCTTTGTTTGATCGCTTTGGTCAAGGGGATTACTACTAAAAAATAGAGCAAAACCATTTAATCAAACTAAACTACAAGTTCATTGCACCATATTGGTTTCATTTGACTGATTTGAATGTTCATCACATAAGTAAAAAGATAAACTTCGATTAAAAGGGAAAAATAATTACTAATTTAGTGAGAAAATGGGTTCTGCAAACAAAAACAGTAGTCAATGAAGTAGTGAAACAAAAATGAGCAGTTAAAAAGAAAATAGAAACTTTAAATCTTGTTTTCGTAATTGAAAATGTATATTAAGCGAAAGAGATTAAGGAATCAGAGAATTACCAGAAAAACAAAATACAGGATCAACACAAGCTTGCACAGGCAGAGAAAAGTGACAAATGGCAAGGAAAGAAGCAGAAAAATCGCACTAAAATTCTCACAACAAAGTTGTAGGAATAGAGGAAATTCACAGAGGTAGGAAAGGACATAAATGGGAGGGAGATGGACAATTGAGTGCTTATATTGGTAGTGGAGGTGGTGGGGACCACACGGTTCAGTATAGGTGATATTGTCAGACGATGACTTATTTACAAAGAAAAGTTCGTATGACTGTTGAACCAAATAGGAGTAAAAGAACCAAAATTTTAAGATGATTTATGGTAAATTATTTAACGATTTAAACATTTGGAGTATCTCATTCTCGAGTACCGTTAAATTTCAAACAATTACTAATGGTCCCAAAAAAAAAACAGAGAAGCTAAGAAATGATTAAATGATCTCAGTTTGATCGCTTTGACCGATGCTTACTGTTGAATTTAGTGATTCATTCTGATTGGGCCGTTTATTTTGGCTCAATTGATTGGCTGTTTTAATAGCTCCATATGAAAGCCAATAGATTTTTCAATGTAACCATAGTGATACACCACGTGTTCCTATATAAATGATGGAATATGTATGCTAAAAAGTTAATAACTTAAAATTTTAAATATTTCACCACTTACATAAAAACACATGGTGTATCATCCGTGTTCTCGTCACAACTAAAAATTTCTCATGAAACCCACGTGATGACTACGTTAAGACCATCTCCAATGGTTGGGCTAAAAGTCAAATTTTTTAGCCTCAAAAATTTAGCTTTTAGCCCAAAAACAGTTTTTCTACTCTAACCATTGTACCTTAAAATTTTAGTCCGGGATTATTAAAGAATGAATTTAGGCTTTTTTTTTGTTAAATTAATTTTTTTTTAAAAAAATAAATATGTAGACTATCGTAAATTAATTTTATGAACATTTTAATCTAAAAAAATTTAAATTCCAATAAATATTGAGTAGAGTCCACCCCGATTTCTGGGCTAAATTTCGGGGGGAATTTGGCATTGGTTTAACATTTAGCATTTAGCTCAAAATTTCCCCTTGGGTTGGAGTGCATTTGGGGGGAAATTTTGGGGGGTAATTTGGCTTTTAGCCCACCATTGAAGTTGGTCTAAAGGCAGAAAGCAGCCAATATTAGAAAGGAAAACTAATAAAAAAAAGCTTGAAAACTTTAAGTTTTAATGATAAGGACAAAATAAAGGATAAAATGAATAGTATCATAATTAACCTTTTAGTGTAAAAATATTATTTTTTTGTTAAAATAAACAGTAACATAAACTTTTCGTTAATTTTCACATATTAGAAGACATTGAATGCTTTTCGTTTGGTTCCCATCACCAAAAAGAAAAAGAAAGGCAACCTATGCCCTTCGGTTCCTAAAAAACAGGGAGAGGCAGATAAAAAAAAAAGAAAAAAAAAGCAGCATTATAAGGCATTGGATGCTTTTCTTTTGGTTCCCATTAGCAAAAGAGAAAACGAAAGGTTTTGGGCAATTACACATTCAAGATATTGGTGCTACATTTTATGGTTTTTGGGAGAGATGTATTTTCATCTTCTCCATTTATTCTTTATTTGAGAGAACTATTAGGTGTATGTGGGGGTTTGAAACTTAAAAACTCTATTTGTAATTTCCATTGATTATTAGTGAATCTTCTTGGCCATTTCTGCACTAGAGGTAGGCTTATGCCAAATCAGTTTAAATCTTTGTGTTACTTTGAATTGTTTGTTTTGTCATTTTTTTTTTGTATTAATTTATTGATTTCATATTTGACGCACAACATTTACTACTAAAAAAATGAGCTAAATCATTTAATCAAATTAAACTACGAGTCCAGTGCATGAAACTGCTCAATGTTCATATTGGTTTCATTTGACTGATTTGAATGTTTCATCACATAAGGATAAACTTGGATTAAAAGGAAGAACAAACACTAATTTAGTGAGAACATCAGCAATCAAACATTGACATCCAGTATTGAGCCAAAGATAAGTTGGAAGGACCTAGCAAGCAGCTCCATCAGCCAAAATTTCTAATCAACATCGTCACACAAGCGATCAAGTAACAAAACAAATTACTCTCAAGTCTCAACAGAAAACGTTATATGTGGGAAAGAATGAATGAATTACATTAAACTAAAACGTCAAGACAACAATGTAATTAACCTATTACGTGTTGTCACGCCACAAAGTTAAAATCTCCCTCAAATAAGCAACAAAGAAATCCCCACGCAAGAGCTGTCCACTTTCCAATACACGTTAGCACATGCACTCCTGAAGTGAAATGACAAGTATTTTCCACAAAGTGGACGACTGGCTCTGATTTCCAATACTCATTCCAAAGTGAAAGCACAAGTATTTTCCTCACAAAAAAAATAAGAGGTGGAGGACTGACTGTGAGAAATTTCCAGGAAGCTTCCCCATTGGGACGTGTTATCTTTCTTTGCCTTTTCTCTTCTCACCAAGGTGATTGGATGCAAGATATGCGACTTCTCTGTAAGTTCCCAATTTTCCAATCATTTCAAGAGGAAACTATTAATGTCACCCACTATGAAACTTTTTTTTTTAAATTAAAAAAATAAAAAACAATTTATCTATACTAAGAAAGTAAAAGACTGGGCTAAACCTCATTATGGACTAGCAAATATTTTTTTTTTATTTATACTAAAGAGATGAAAGGTTGGGTTAAACCTCACTATGGACCGTCAATAAAAGTAATTGGATGCAAGACTTTTTGAGTAAGTTTCCAACTTCTTATCAGAAAATATATTCATGTTTTTGCCTTTTTTTTTTTTATAAAAAGGAAAATATTTATGTCACCCACTAATCTAGGTTGTTTCACACGAGCATTCCAATGTCAGGTTCTCCTTTTTGATATATGGGTGGATCAATCCGCCCAATGCCTCCCAGTCCCACTATTAAATATGAATGACATGTTCTTAGCACGATTCACTAACATAATGACAATGTTCATGTTCATGAGGCTTACAATCTTCACGAAGCAAATAAATTACTCAAAGGTGTTCTGACACAAGACTATTTTCGATTTTTAATTTTCAAAGAAAACTTGTTTGACACCTTCTAATTTTTAGTTTTTAAAGAAATGCAAACTAAAAACTAGTTTCCTGTGATTTCAAAATTTATATTTTCAGTTTTTAATTTTAGTTTCTAATCAACACCATGACACAAGCCATCAAGTAACAAAACCAATAAAAAGTCAACTGAAAACATTATATGTCAAAAAGAACAACGAATTACATGAAACGAGAACGTCAAAGTAGCCATGTAGTCAACCTATTGCATGTTGTCACGCCACAAAATTAAAATATACAATGTGAGGTGGCAACAAATTTGAGCCACACCGCTGTAATGTTTCCGTGCAATGTAAATCCCCCTCAAAGAAGCAAAGGAAATCCCCATGCAAGAGCTCTCTACTTTCCAATACTCGTTCATGGGGAAAAGCTGATAGGACAAGTATTTTCCACAAAACAGGTGGAAGACCGACTGTGGGAAATATCCAAGAAACAAAGATTTGATTTCTGAGTAAGTTCCCAACTTTCTTCTAATAAAAGATATTCATGTCTCTTTGTTTGTTCAGTGATGTCAAAGTCACCTACTTATCTTATTTCTTCACTTACTTTACAAAAAGTGGAGGACTGACAATGAGAAAGTTACCTTGCTGGGAGTCCTTATCTTTCTTTACCTTTTCTTTAAGAGGAAACTATTTATGGCACCAACTATGAAACTTCTATATAGGTTTTTTCACACCTCTTTTTGTTTGGTCCGCACTTCTCCAAAGCTTTGGGCCACACATCTGTTCTATTAATAAAAAGAAGCAACGGTAGCAATTCTACCTCCTCACGTACTTTTAGTACAGGCTAAGCTAGACAGATGGGCTGCAAGTCCACTTACAATGTTGAGTCTTTGTTGAATATGTTGCGACTTCCCCTGTCATTTAGACAACCCATCTCACAGTTACACCCTACACTAAATGTATCAACCCCAGCAATTAGCAATATCAAATCTGATAAAACCAGTCAACCAACTGAGAAGTCTTCAATGCAAGCTGCAATGTATGAGTTGAGTTGAAATGGTCCATACATCAAAGAAAATGAGCATTCATAAGAATCATGAAACCTAGGCTAAGTTCCATGGACTCTTAAAGGTCTGATGGTATTTAGAGTTCCATGAAGCCTAGGCTACACCTTTCAGAAACGCACTAAAAAAAAATAGATAAAGGGGCTTCAAAATGACTAGATGCAAAACATTTGAGAGAACTTTCAAATGATACCTTAAAAGTCCTTTGTTGCGTGTCTTTCTATTGCATTGTAGTGTTTTAGTAGTAACTTTGTAGTGCTTTAGTAGTTCATCAATAGTGTTCTTGTAGTGCATTTTTAACAATTAAGTCTAAAGTTTCCCTCATTTAAACATAGAACAAAACACCCTTGACAACTTTATGTTTTATACAAAAAAACTCCAAGAGCTCAACTGAAAAAAAAAAAGAAAAAAGTCATCGTCTATCCACTTGTCATGCTCTAGTTGATTCTTAGTCGTGAAAAACTTCTCTCCATCATCAAGTCAGTCGGGTAATTTTTTTTTCTTTTTTAACTATTGGATTTGAAGTGTTTTTCCATAAAGATCAAGTAGCATCATCTTCTAGGAGAATAAGTTTCGGAAAAGAACGAATTACTTTCAAATGAAAGCGAAAATATGGTACATCACATCCACACTGCAGATATGACATAGGCGTATACCAGTATCTACTTCTTTATACACTCAACATCAACAAAATTTACATAATGAACCATTTATGAATGCCCTCATCACTCAAACGTAGCATTACATATGTCAAATCTACTGCTTTCCTGGTAAAACCGACATCTTTATGGCCACAAAACTTAAAGGAGGAGACTAATCAACAAAGTTCAAAAGATAAAATAGGACATCACCAAATTAAGCAGGCCGAAATATGGGCACTAATGGTAAAAAACGGTGATTCTCAAACACCTGTAAATATAATGCATGTTATGCTGTTTAATTGGGGAATGTACAACTATTAAGAATAGCCAAAAGTGATACATTAGGACCACTAAAGTATAGGCGGGTACTATAGTGCAATCCGATTAACCATCATTCTCCGGAATCTTTACTCTTCATGCATATCAGTGCTTATAGAGACATTATTTTATATACAAGTCTAAA